CTGCCTGCCTGCCTGCCTACCTGCCCGCCTGCCTGTCTGCCTGCCCGCCCGCTTGTCTGTCTGTCTGTCCGTCTGTCTGTCTGTCTGTCTGTCTGTCTGTCTGTCTGTCTGTCTATCTGTCTACCTAAATGTCTGTCTATTCAGTCTTGAGATTTATGATTTATAGTTATTCATTTGTCAATTATTCAAGCAAGGTGCACAGTATACGCTATTACTTAAAAGAAACCCTAGTGATATCTCAAAAGTATGGCATAAGGCCAGCACTGAAAGTTCTTTTCAAAAGGACATGTTAGACTGTAAAAGTGAGGTTCTGATACTGGAAGGGCTGGAGAAGGGGAGTGGGGTGTTCATTTTAGTCTGATTTCATTCCGTCACTTTGCACGATATCCAGTTGGCACCATTTCAAACGAAGACAAGATTTACTATTTTCACGAATCAAGGTATCCAATCTTTTGCGTTATCCATTCTACAGTCCTGACTTAGCTCCACGTGGCTGCTGATTTTTCCATACTCTAAAAGCTTGCTGACCGAAAGTTTAAACGCATTCAGGACCTAGCTGCGAAACATGCCGAAAGCTGACTAGCCTGTGCCTCCCAGAAGTGACTCTTGGGGCTGGAAAGCTGCATACAAAGTCGAAGAGCAAATTTTGAGGGATTGTTAGAATGTTAAGTCCATGGCATTAAACGATTTTGGGTTATTTTACAACTTTTATTACTGCCTTGACCATTCTCGTCATACCTTGGTGACCCTGTACTTTTCGGCGTATGTAATATAAAGGTTAGGATTTTTGCCAGTGCATGGAGAAAAAGAGACTAAAGTTTGATTCTCGAATGGCAAAGTTTGGGGGGGGGGGGGTGCGAAGTATCTCCGTTTGTGCGCATAGAGCTGTGTCCCTGTCACCCCGGGTTGGCCCCCACAGGTGCCGATGAAGGCCTTACACATTTACAAGACAAAAAGAAACAAAACAATTTGAGAAACAGCTGTTGTGTAGGCGCATTGTTCTTTATGTACATTTGTCTCCCCAGTGACCATCATGCTGCTCAACTGTTACAGCACCAAACTGTCGGCACAGCTGCAGATAATCACCACAGTTGCCAAAGTGGCAGCGCTCTTGGTTATCGTTGTTGGTGGCCTCATCAAGTTGGCTGAGGGTATGTACGCGATTCAACTGCAGAGGAACTATTGCTTTGACCATAATTCTTTGTCATTTCACTAATATGGAGGAGCCAACAAAAAGCTACAGTTAGAACTAATACCAGATATCATTTATTAATGAAGGTATCTCCAAAATGTGTGTAACTAAAGGCTAGGAAAGTGAACTGGAAAGAAAATTCTGATAACACTGAAACCCTTACCTTAACCCCAATTTTAACCCTAACCATAACCCTGTCGTCTTTCAGGCCCTCGTTGTGTATGCTAGCTTAATAGAAAATGGTGGTACATGTATCAATACGTCTAAAATTCATTATTATTGGCTCCTCTGCGCCGGGGGAGGGGGTGGGGGGCTACTATATGATTAGTGATCTGCAAATACAAATATACAAATAAGAGGTGCACTGATACCTCAGTTTGTATCATATTATACAACAATGTGGATGAGCCTGATTTAATCCCTGAGTGTGACGTTCTCGATTTAAATTGTTGGGTGTGTGTTCAAGGCTCTCTGTCACCCTCTGGTGGACTGATAAAGATCTTCAGCGTTGTGCTCATGTACTGGTTACATCTGGTCTTGTAAGGCTCTTTGCCATCACGCGCTTCAAATGTGAGGTCGATTACGTTACGAGAAAAATCATTTGTATTGCACACACACATGCACACACAAACACACACACACACTCACACACGCTCAAACACATACACACACACACACACACACACACACACACACACACACACACACACACACACACGCACATACATACACCTACACACTTGTTTTTGTTTAATTTTGTTAGCAGTATAAAATATGTTACGTGGTGTGGTGGTATGAAACTAATGTATATTTTTTTTCAAAGACATGTCTTTGAAAAACGTAGTGTGTCATACGAGTTGTATTTTATCTATTTTAACGATATTTGAGCAAGGAGGACAACAGAAAGCACTGTGTTGTAAATCCTTCCTTACTATAATTTCTTTCCTTACCTCAAGGTAACACCAAAGAGCTAAATACTGGTTTCACCGGCTCTACTACAGATCCTTCAACCATTGCCCTCGCATTCTATGATGCTCTGTGGGCGTATGATGGATGGTAAGGGGAAATCCTGCTTACGGCTGGCGTTTCCTTTGTATTTTTATTGTGGTCTTGTAGCCGCACATTATCCAACAGTCTTTTTTTGTTGTTGTTGTTGCTATCAATTGTGTTCTAAGAATGTTGAGTGTTTACTTGTTTGCACGAGTGTGTATGTGTGTGGGGGTGGGAGCGATTTTCTGTAGCTGTTTTCCTTTTCAGTTCTTCTCTGTTAGGGAGTTGGGGATCATCTGTATATTTCTCTGACGTTAAGTGCGTTTATTGTTTGTTTGTTTGTTTGTTTGTTTGTTTTATAGCTTGTTGGGTTTCTTGCCTTTGACATTTTCCTAGCGCAAAAGGACCGAATTTGCTCGACATCGTTTCCTCCTTTAGAAACATAATTTACTTTAACTCATACTGTTGATTTAAAATAATAACTCGGGGCTGTTCCTTTATAATGGCTTTTCGGATAATTTTGACAGCTTCCGCAGGCCCATTTAACTAGTACATGGCATTCCGCAGAGGTTTATGAATGTGGCAGTTTAGTTCAGCCGTTTGTCTAAACTTGATCTTATTGAGAGGATGGTCTCGATTTGTAGATGGCCCTTTGGGGGAATACGTGTATAATAGCCCTTTGGGGGACAATAGGTCAGTACAAGGGAAATACGTGTATAATAGTATGTTCTTGGAGTTTAAGAAAAGTAGTAAATATAGAACAAAAACTATAGACAGCCAGACATAATCAAATATCAACTATGTTTTTGTAGATTCTGCATGACAAAATAAGATAGTTTACCTGACATAAAGTTTACTCCTCAAAGATCTAGCAGTAGCAGGCTATTTGCTGTCTCAATTTTACAGAAAACAGTGATTCTGAAATGAGCTTGCTGTTATGTGTCAAAGAGTGCTCGAATTATTGCATGCTTTCTTTCCTTGGTTATTAACTGTTGATATACCAAAAGCTATAGTCGTGTATATACTGTATTTATGCAGTTTGAAAAGGTAGCCTGTTCTTTTGAGATAGTCACCGAAGCTTGCAGAGGAAAGTTTAAAAGGCAGAACACGGCGTATGGCTTAAATAAGAAAAGAATAATCCAAGGAAAGTTATAAATAGCGTCTACTGCCTGTGCGTTTTACAACAATGTTTTTGGACAATAGCTAACATAATCCCACGTTTTATGCATACAGGCTCTTTCAATCAACAACAATAATTTAAAATACACATAATACGCCCATAATCTGTCAAAAGAACACATGCACAAAAAGATAACCACTGCGGCTACTGACTACTACTTCACTACCCTAGAATTACAAGGTTTTATCTAGTCTGTTCAGTTGCAGTACCTAGTTTTGATAAACTTTACGTCAAAAGTTTTGAGTTTCACAACATGAAAAGCTTTTTTTCGAAAGCAATTCTTTGAATATCTTGATAACGACTTCGAATAATCTTACGATTTTAATTTTTTAAAAGAACATATCTATATAGGACTTTTTGTTTTGCTTTTTCACCTAATGGTCTAGGTACATGTAACTCAGAACGGCCAAAAATGTCAGATCGAACTTTGTAATTCTAAGATAGTCACTTGCAGAAATAGGAATCTAATTACAATGTAGTTATTTAAATAAGATTTAAATACGAGAATTTTTAGACCAGATTCAAATGCGTCCAATATAAGGCTTCTCTTAAGTGCGGTGGAAGAGAATTCCGCAATGATTGAGCAACTGTAAAAAAAAGTCATATCTCCAATGTGTTTAATTTTATACTGCGCATTCTTATGTTGCATTTTATTCATGGACGGTAAATTCCGAGAGGGGAAATACTCCTGTGGTATATTCGAAAAAATGTGGTGCCACGCGTGTTGTGCATGTTTTGTACATTGTGGTAACGCTAATAGAACATTGTTTTAAAGTTATCAAATATACCTTAGTAGGTTTTGATTATGATTCTGGTGTTGCAACTGCCTTACTTGGAATAAATGTTAAGATCTAGACAGCATAAATAATGAAGAGTACTTTCAAAGGGGAAAATTATGGTAATCTGAAAAGAGAGGTTGCTATCCTGCAGTTTGAAAATAACTATTAAACTATATGTGTGGAATTGAGTTATACTAGACTTTTGTGAATAATATTTTGTTACACATTTTCATTTCAGGAACAACTTAAACTACGTTACGGAAGAACTGAAGAATCCATCTAAGTAAGACAAATAAATTGTTACTTTGTTATTTAGATCTACACCTTTTTTGTTACCCGTTAAAACTTAGCAGATGGTCTGTTTAATTTTCTTTGATGTCGTTAGAGTGGTATATTTGGACCTCTGACTTCTCTGTTGGGTATTGATACAGTCCTTTTATATTTTCCATTTCATTAATATTTTTTTTACGATTTTACATTAAAAACTTGGTTAGGAAGGAGAAGGAAATGGGATGGTTTTTTGTTGTTTTTTGGTGTGTTTTTTTTTGGGGGGGGGGATTTCTACTTGTCCTGGAATAAATGCAGATCCTCGTGAAATTGGAAACATACTGAAGAATAAATGATTGAAGAACTTAATCAAGAAACTAGTTTGTACTGAACAAGCTCGAGTAGTTAAGAGTTCACTCCCAATCCAGTAGATTCAATGATTGTGTTTTAGATATTTGCTCATTGGCGACATTTTAACTCTAAAACAGCTCTATTAACAACTTGCATGCCAAACTTCATGTACATAATTACTGATCATTATTTAGTTGTTTAGCTTTGATTAAATTTAGTATCACTTCAACTGATAGTCGTTCTGTTTAAAGTATCATGAAACTTACTACTCAACTAACACTAAACAGTGCCGTATATGATGTTATGGTTTAGCTAGAAGTTTCGCCTTAACACGCAAAATGAAGTTAACTTTATCACGTACATTCGTGTTTGTTCTGGGATATTGTATGCCTGTCGACTGCAGGTTGACCGTATCAAGCAGGGTTGTAGCTTTTGACTCTCAGTTAATCTTTAATTGTGTGTAGCATTCGGACTCCTAGGTAGTCTAAATTGTGTAGGTTGTGTTATAAAATATTTACTAATTGTTTTCGCCTTTATTGTGTGTCTCTAGAAACCTGCCTCGAGCAATCATCGTGAGTGTCTCAAGCGTCATCGTCATCTATGCACTCACCAACATCGGTTATCTCTCAGTGATGACTACAACTGAACTTTTGGACGCTGACGCTGTAGCTGTGGTCAGTATACTTGTGCATATCGTTGTTGGTTCGCTTTGACATACTTTAACTACTACCAGGTGCTTCGTTTAACTACTACTAGGTGCTTCTCTATTACAATACAATTTTCTCGGTTGTATGCCTGCCGCTCCGTAACCATCAGGGGAAAAAACAATTCCACCAAGAGAATAAGAAATATCTAGACTTTTATAAAAATAGGAACTTTAAATGCTTTGCTAGACAAACTGTTGATCATTTCGGAGGTAGAACCCTCAATAAACCCCAGAACAAAGAAAACAATATTTCGAAAATGCCAAACCAAAGAGAAGTCGGATAACCCTTTTTTAATTCATAAAATCTAAGTCAAGACAACTAGAGAAGTGGGAGGGAGCATGATGGTAGTAGTAACAAAAAGAACATTGTCAACAATTGCCTTTCACTCACAATGTCATGAACAATCGCCTTTCATTCAATGCACGCTTGCTTTATAATATAATATGTCAAAAGTGTGCGACTGTGGCCTTTTTAGAGATGAAATATTATATTTAGGCGGACTAACTGGAACAAAAAACAGATCTTGGCATTCAACAGCAAATTAGTTTAGATTACATTTCTTTTCCCCTCTTTGTGTTCTTGTGTTTTTTGACGATGTAAAGTTTCCTAGAGCAACGGTTTGTAAGTCAGTTTGATATTTCAGCTAAGCGCCTTTTTTTCTTATATCCCATAAACGTTGTACGAAAACTCGAACTGAAGCGATAATACACAAGAAAATTGACTGCACTGTTGAGCGTTTCAGCCTGAGTGCGAATATTGAAAATTGTCACATATACGTGATGGTAATTTCGACCAATTGCAAAACCGGGAACAGAAAGCCGAGACAACCCGACAGCGATCCTTGGAATATTACACACCACGAAGATGAGACAAACGATGCAGACTTGTCTTAAGGCTTGAACTTCTTTTCCTTTCAAATACCGAGCGGATGATGTTTCTCCGGGAGCAGTATCTTGTGTAATCTGGCTGAGGGCTGTATTTTTAAGTCGAAAGGAAACTGCCGATTTCAGAGATGTACTCATGACGAGGAGACATACAAATACTACAAGTTGGCTGCCTATTGTAAGGAACACATTCGATAAGATTTGCTCAACATCCGTGGAAATTTGATAGGCATATGGTAAGTATACCGTCAATCGTTCCGTGAGGTTGGTTCCCTGGTGTGCATTCCGAAACCTTAACGTGAAACACGATGGTCCATTGGCCAGAAGGGAATATAAGCAAAAACTGAGTACAGCCCAGACAGTTCGGCGAGTAGTGAAAATGAATCGAAACTTATGGGGTTTGTACACACAGAGACATCGTGCAACGGCCAGGAACATAGTGATTAAAACTGAGATCGTGAGGAAGCAGTCTCTGATATTGGCGCCAATGAGGGCAGCAACGAGTGGATCAAAGCGATGTAGAGCATCAGTGGTACCATCCACAATCCGCATAACAGCTGCTGCTGCATTCAACGACAGGGCGCTAAGCATTCCCAAGTCGGCAAAGGACAGGGCAAGAAACAGAGCCGTCACGCTGTCGGACACGCCCATTTTGAAAAACACAACGATATTCAAACAGTTTGTAACTATCCCGAAGATAGTCAGGACTGTCCAAGGCATAACAACAACTTTAAGGTAAATCAACTCTTGTTGCTTAGACATAAGGTCCACGGTGTGCCTTATCACTTCAGTCCTGATGTTTGTTGTGTTGAACATTATTGTTGTTCTTACTAGTGTTGCTGTTGTTGTCGCTGCTGTTACTGCTGCTGTGGCAGCTGCTGTTATTGTTGTTTTAGTTGCTTTTGTTGTTATTGAAGTTGTTGTTGTCGTCATTGTTATTCACCCATCAGGGTGCGGTCTTTCATCTTTTGGCTTAAAAAATACGTTTTGTTCTTGGTTAATCATAAATAAGAGAAATACAGAACCTGTAACAAAAAGATATTATCCTTTTCCGATCTCCGATAATAGCTCAAGGTATGATTCCTGTAGTGTCGAAGACGTTAACTTCGTGAAGATGGGAGAAAATAACGGTCTTCTTCTTTTTAAACTGCCTGCGCTGCGGTAACTATCACTGTGTCACGCAAACTTTTCAAACAATCATCAGTGTCAAGTAAATAAGCATATTATCATCCGTTCACGCCACATAAATGAGAACTTGGCGCTATTCGGAGACCATCTCCGCTTTTTTCTGAATTACAGGGCAAATAGTGTGGCTGTTCACACATTACTCTCCGGTTCTAAACTCAAAATCTTTTATAATAATACTTTTGTAATTTTCTTTCATCATTTTTCGGTTGAGCGGTTTGGAAGATTTTACTTCTTCGGCCGTTTCTGCTGTTTCGGTGTCTATTTCTTGTTTCTTTTCATCGCTATACTACCATTTTCGGGGCAAACTTCTCTTCAATTTTAACAAACAAATTATGTGGAGGCTGAAATTCACTTCAGTCCGTTCTTAAAGATCAAATATATATATATATATATGTTCCGTCGATAGATGTGATTATTGCAAAAACATTGCGCACCCCCAGGCTCATTATCGAAATTACTTTTGTCGTCACTGATTTCAAAATGTTCAAATTGGACAAAGGTCGCCGGGGTAAGTTGTGTGTGATTAGTTTTAAATTTGCCCTATGTGTCTTTTTGAACTATCAAGTTGCAGCCAATTTCAACATGATAAGGCTTGCCCTTACAATAATGTCTTATAATCAAATAATCGGTCGTGGCATCAAACCAAAAGACGTGTAATATGTGCTGGGTGCGTATGACAATTGTTCGTAAATCTCCATAATTCTCCCATAATGTTGATATAAAAAGCTTTCTCATCGAACTGTTGACTGAAAAGGCACACGAGTCCAGGGCTGTTTTCTCGTGTGGTTTTCTTTATTCTTGAACTGTACTTAGTTTACAATAATATATAATATTGTTGTGAACGTGAAATGAATGGGACACTTGTACGAACCACAGAGACCTATATAACAAACAGACTGTCTACATAATAGCCATAGCTTGTTCACGTACGTCTTTCTGCGGATAAATCGGGATAAAAAAAAACAATTAGTGCTCTGTTTTATCTTCTCAGGTCCCTGCACGAGGTTCTAAAGGTTTTTTTGTTGGTTTGTTTGTTTGTTTTTTGTTGTTAGCTTAAAATGGGTCATGAAACAATAGATGATTTGCGGCATACACATAATACATCGACAAGTTGACCTATTTCTATCAACACGTTCCAGCAGACTGGTAGGCTTAAGTACTTTTTGAGACGCGCCTGGTAACTGGTTACGTTCAGTGGATGGGGGCGGGGGGGGGGGGGGGACTGCGTGATTACACCGAAATGAAGGGTTAGAATAGTGTCACTGTCTCAAAATGAAAAACGTGTATGCTAAGTTACTGTGAATAATTTATTGTAGTGATTGTGTAAATCTATCGATTTTGATAGAGCAGATAAAAAATTTGATTTCTGACCACGTGGTCTTAGTAGCTCGAAACGGCCTAAAAAAAGCAGATAGAACTGCATAATTCTAAGGTAGCGCTTTGTTTATAAATAGGTTTCCATAGTTCCCCCAGATGCATGTAGGAACAGGATAAGACTTCCTCATAATATCATGATAATGAGAAATGTGTCCGCCTTTCTGGCTGTGATGCTGTCCCTCTGGTACTCTGCCAGCTCAATTGTTGATATTGCGAAGGATATCTTTAAAAAATAAACGTTACATTCATTTGCTACTTTTTTGGACGACATTTTCGTTTCATAGGCTTTGAGTCAAGAGTCATTCTACAATCTTTGTTATATGGTTGTGTTCTTAAGTTCTTTAACCGTTTTGCGAAATCTTGAGTTGAAGTGATAGTACACAAGAAAATTGACGGCACTGTTAAGCGTTTCAGCTTGGGTGCGAATATTAGAAGATGTTGTGTAAATTCTGTGGTAATTTAAACTCACTGCAAAACCCGGAACAGAAATCCGAGACAAAGCGATGAGGATCCTAGGAATATTACACACCAGGAAGATAAGACACACGATGTAGACTTGCCTCAAGACCTGGAGTTCTTTTCTTTTCAAATGAAGGGTAAGAGATGCTTCTCTGTGAACAGTATCATGCATACGAACTCGTTGACAGGTTGTTGCATTTTTAGATCGGAAAGAGACTGCCTGTTTCAATGATCGACTCATTATGGTAAGACAAACGAAGACTGTTGTTTGGCAACCTATTGATAAGAAAACATTCGACAAGATATACTTAATATCCGTGATGGCTTGATAGTCGTCTGAAAAGTGCATTGTCAATCGTTTCGTGAAGTTGTTATTCTGGTTGATGTTGCGCAACGTCATGGCGAGACATGAGGGTCCGTTCACTAGTAGAGAAAAAAAGCAAAAACTGAGTAGAGCACGGACGGTCCGACGAAGTGTTAAAATAAATCTAAATTTATGAGGTTTGTAAACACAAAGACACCGGGCGACGGCCAGGAACGTTGTGATCAAAACTGAGAGCGTCAGGAAAAAATGCATGCTATTGGCACTAATTGCGGAGATAATGAAAGGATCAAAACGTTGTAGAGCGTCAGTGGTGCCATCCACAATCCTCAGGACAGCTCCTATGACGCCTAACAGAACTGTACTAAGCATTCCCAAGTCGGCCACAGACAAAAGGAAAAACAAAGCCGACACGCTATCAGAAATACCCATTTTGAAAAATACAACAATGTTCAAACAATTAGTAACTATTCCGAAGAAGGTCACAGCGGTCCATGGAATAACAACAACCTTAAGGTAAATTAGCTCTTGTTGTTTGGACATAATATTATCTGTGTATCCTAGAGCTTCCGATCTGGTGCTTGTTGTATTGAACATTGTTGCTGTTGTTTGTTTTTGTGTTTTTTTGTAGTTGTTGTTTTTGTTTGTTTGGTTTTGTTTGTTTTTTGTTTGTTTGTTTTATGTTGCTGATGGTGATTATAACGGTGATGATGAATTTGATGATGATGATGTTGTTGCTGTTGTTGTTGTTGTTTTTTGTTGTTGTTTTTGTTGTTGTTAGTCCATATCAGCGAGTGGTGTGTCGGCCTTAAACTTTGAAAATATAGGAGTGGATATTCAGAAAAAAAAATGATAAGTTCTACTTGGGAAATAATATGGTCTTCAGTCGCAGTCCCCGATTTTAATTCAAAACGAGGAAACTCGTCCAGGATGGAGGGAAACGATTGAATGTTTGCTAGTTATCCAGCTTGTCTCGTAGCCTCATTTTGTTCTGCTGGAACATAATATGCCTGTGAATACGACTCACTTTCTGAAGAATCTCTTGTGTGAAATGTACTTTTTCTCTTATCGCTGGCATATATATA